GGGGGGGGGTTGCTATTTTAAATCCTGCCAAACAATCTACAAACGAGGATAGGATAGACAGATACCTTCAAATGTGTAAGGCATAAAATAATTTATCTACCAATCATTCCTTCTCAGGAAGTTACTAAGGATATAATTCAATAAAATGAAGAAGTAAATCAAGCAAATGGAAGGCAGAAGATCCAGGAAACTTGAGTCTCCAAGATAGGAGTAGAAAACTGCCAACGTCCCAGGAAAAACAACCCTACGGTGAAGATTAGAAAAGAATGGAAGGTTCCTGATAGATGTGTCGGAGCACCTGGATAAAAATATGGAAAGACAAAGAACTTATCTGTTACACTATTTAAGGGAATATAGTCATAAATGTGTAGAAAAGTAATTTAAAAAAAAAATTAGAGGAAATTATTTACTCTGGGAAACACAAAAAACGTGTAGGATAAGAAAACATAACCATAGGTTTATATTTAACTCAACAATAAATATGTACATAATAATGTAACCACTGACGGCTGGTTTTACTCAAAATTGGTATTTAACTATCTTGAGGCAGTGGAAGGCAGGGAGAAGAGTTCAAAGGTGGTCAAATGAACACTGTACATTGATTTAGAAATATGAAAGCTAAAACAAGTAGGTAGAAAAAATAGTAGAATATGTATCTGCCTTTGCAAAGTAGAGCTTGGTAGATAAAAGGACAGAGACCACTTGTTTTTGTCTTAAGTCTTATGTTGTTGTTGTTAAGTACCGTGGAGTCGGTTCCGACTCATAGTGACCCTGAACAGGGTTTCCGAGGCGGTAAATCTTTACAGGAGCAGAACGCCTCATCTTTAAGTCTTATAGCACTATAAAACATTTTTTTTTAAATATCAATCATGTTTCAGTATTAATGTGACAGAAACAGCTGATGCTCACATCATGGACAATTAGTTCAATTTATAAAATTGTCACTATCAATTTCATCGATTAATTTCTGGCTTAGAATTTCAAATGCATGAGTTTTAGAAATACTTCAATACTAATGATGGTAAGTTTCCCACACCAGCTTTCCAAAGGCATTTAACCGATGTTATTGTTAAGTGCCATCAAGTCGGTTTCCACCCAGTTACCCCGTGTAGGATTTCCGAGGAGCGGCTGGTGAGCTTGAACCTTGCAGCTCAAACCGACTTTTTAGTCCAGCGCATTAACCCACAGCACCACACCTGAAATGATACAGAAATGTGGTAGAAGAATACCACTTCAAGTACTCTTAAGCATTGTAATAGTTTCTGTGGGAAACTTTATTTTGAAAACTCAGGATGCCTGATGTGCACCTTGTTGTCGTTGTTATGTGTCATGGAGTCAGTTCTGACTCATAGTGACCCTGCACAGGGTTTCCGAGGCTGTAAATCTTTACGGGAGCAGAAAGACTCATCTTTCTCCCGCGTAAAGGCTGGTAGTTTCGAACTGCCGACCTTGAGGTTAGCATCCCGATTTGTAACCACTATGCTACCAGAGCTCCTTGATATGTACCTTAGCCCTTTTCCATTGCTCTTCTCAAGGAGGGGCAGCCAGAATACTTTTAAAAGTGAGATAATGGGGAGGGCTGGAAGGATACAGTCTGCACGTGGCAGCAGGATGGATGTAATTGAGAAAATACTGCTGGAGGTCCTCCCTCATGCCTCAAGGTGAGAGGTGATTCATCCCCTCTCCCCTCCTTTAAAGGGCCCATTCCTGAGTATAAACTGGATGCTCATGAATCAAAACTTGCTTGTGCTAGGAATACTGCTAAGAAAATTACTTACCAGTCTACCTTTGAATAAGGTTAACAAATTTACCATTACAAGAACTAATTAGCAATTAATGTTCACATCATAATCAAACTTCCATAATATTTTCAATTCATTCAATAAAACCTTGATTGCTAACATTGTTTGATATTTTAAAAAGACAATATTGACTATGTTACCTAGAGCAAGTTAAAGCCTTGCTTTCCTCATCTCTAAAATGGGGGTGATGATGCTTACCTCGCTGGGTAACAGAAAAGAAAACAGAAGTATAGGTTACTATTTAACTCAAAAGTGAACAATAAATAATGTATGTAATGCACTGGGGGGGGAGGGGGGGGACAGGTTCTACTCTGTGTCTAGGAGTCTGAGTCAACTCCATGACACACAACACTGCAGGTAATCCATGGCAGTCCCTGCTGGGTTCCCTGGAGGAACCTTACCGGTACACTGGTTATGCATGAGCTGCTAACCAATAGGTTAGAGGTTCAAACTCACCACGCTTGGAAATTCTATGGGGCAGTTCTACTTTGTCTTACAGAGTCACTGTAAGTCAGAAATCAACTACACCAGTAATGAATGAGTTTGCTGTGGTGGAAGAACAAATACATGTAATCCCAAAGTAGTATACAAGTGCCTTAAACCAAAAGACCTTTACAAAATCATGTATAATGTATTTCTCAAAGTATGTAATGGTTGTTGTTACTAAGTGCCCCCGAGTCAGTTCAGACTCATCTCAACCCTGTACAGGGTTTCTGAGAAACGGTTGTTGAGTTTGAACTGCCGACCTTGCAGTTAACAATCAGTGTTTATCCTACAGCGCCACACCAGAACTCCGAAACACGTGCTATGAGTTGATTCATACGCACTCATTATGTTCCCTGTACTACACCAATTTGCAGTTTTAATTCAATCGATTAAAACGAGGATTACGAGCTGCACTACATTAGAAAAACACAGCATTCAAAGCCATATATATAACAATGTCCAAACAATCTGCTTAAAGCAATTCCATTTCAACATTGGGGTCAATCTCAACAGGCCTCAAGAAATTTCTTTAAATTAAAAAAAATTTTAATTAAAAAACTGACATACTGGATGTTTAAGAGTATGATGCCTTTCCCCTAAAACACTGAGATACACCATTACCTGAGTTGAAATAAAGAGATTATATGACAATACACGAAATAAATAGAATGTTTATGTATCTGCAACTAACAAAATTTTCCCTTTGGGGGCCATTTATGTCAGACATTCCGAAATCAACAAGGTCCCAAGATGAAGACACCTTTATTTAAAAAAAAAAATGCCCCAAAAGATAAAGCTAATTTACGAAGAACAGAAGCAACTGACGTACAGCCAACTCTCCTTTCCCTTCAAAACAGTCAAATGAAGCGAGCGGCCCGGAAATGTAGGATCCATCCAGACTCCAACACATCCCAGAAGAGAAGAGTCAAAACAAGCACTTGAAGAAGCAAAAAGATTGATTATCTAGTGATTCATTCACTATTTTAAAATAAGCGTATCTGTCCCAAGATTTGAAGGCTGCCACGAGTATAAGCTGTCCTTATAACCTATTTCTTTTTCTTTTCTTTTATTTTTTTAAGTATGATAAACAGAAACTATGAGCAAAGAAGTGTGGCCTCTGCAGGGCATCAAAACCAAAGTCAAGGGTTTGCAAGTTTAGTCTAAAACGTTTTACTCTACCCCAAATTCAGGGCCTTAGAGTGACACGCACAGGAAGGGTCAAAGAAATTTTGTGCAGACAAGGAAAAGAAGTTTTAAGGGAGCTTGACTTCAGGGAATAAAGAAAGAAAAGGGCTGAAACGGCTGCACGGAGAATGGGAGGGATCCGGGGGGTTCGCGGTGACCGAGGGGTTCCCGGGAAGCCAGCGATGGGGAGGTGCGAGACTTGAACGCTGACCCTGCCCGGAGGCCAGGGGCGACCACACCTCCTGGCTAGCGCAGTAGGCAGAGGCCGGAGCCCGGAGGCACGCACGGGCGCCGGGCCGGGATGGAGAACGCCGGAGGCGGAGTAGGGGCTCCACAGCGGTCCACAGCGTGTAGTCCTGGCCGCGGGCGGCCGGAAGCAGCCCGGGCCGGGCCCGGCCCCACACAGCCCGACATGCCGCCCCACTCACCGATCAGCCGGCGCACCTCGTCCTGGCTCAGGTAGAGGCTCACACTGGGCCCCGCG